ACTCCCATCTTGTTGCAAACCCATGTCATAAACTTCAGAATTTGCACCTCTACTACCTCTTCCTCTTGGTGAAGCATACTCTAAAGTCCTGTTAGCAAACTTTCCTCCACTTCTGCCTCTAATGGAATTGCCCCCTCTCTGTTTCCTGACAGAACCAACTCCCTCATTAGATCCATCAACAACATCCTTGGAGAAAACCCTCCTTCCATTACCCCTGCTCCTCCTCAACCTGCCATCAAAACTTGTTTCATTCCTCTCAAAATTTGAAGAGGGAGGAGAATGCTCTCCACCATCAAACCTTCCATTTGCATTCCTCTCATAATTCAAACGAGAAGATCGCCCTCCATTGTTAGACCTACCAACATCATCAGACAAAACCCTCCTTCCATTTCCATTTCTTCTCAATCTACCATCACCCTCCACTCCCTTCCTCCCATGAGACTGCACTCCATTTCTACCAACATTATCAGACAAAAGCCTCCTCCTATTCCCATTCCTTCTCAAACCAACCTCACCCTCACCCTCACCCTCAACTCCATTTCTCCCATAATTCACATTAAAAGATGAAATTTCTCCATCAACATCCTCCAACAAAACCCCTTTTCCATTCCCATTTCCACTCAAATCCCCACCATACACAACCCCTTTCCTCCCATTTCCCATTTCACTCAAACCTTCATCAAATTCAAATTTCTTCCCCCAATTCCCCTTTTCATTCAACTTTCCGCCAAATTCAATCTCCTTTCCCCCATTTTCCTTCTCACTCAACTTATCATCAAAAGCATCCCCCTTTACCAAACCCCCTCGTTCCTCATCATACCCCTCCTTCACCAGCCCATACCCATCAACCCTCCTATAAGGCTTCACACTGTGCACCACCCCTTTGGGGAAAAACCTAGCAGATGGCAACTCATCAGGGGTCTCAAACAACACAGGCCCATCCTTCTCACTCCACATATCAAACCCACCAGGCCTCTGAAACCTGTCGGCAAGAACCTTCACCTGCTCATCAGCCCCAACAGAGAACAGATTGGGTGCCGCCGCCGCCGCCCTATCCACCACCTCCCACGGCCTCTCCAGCTCCGACACCGCCGCCTTCAGCTCCGCCCGCTTCCTCATCTCGTATATCTGCCGCTCCCTGGACAGACGCGCCTTCAGTAGCTGCTTCGCCTTCTTCGCCTGCATCCGTTTCCACACCCACTTCGACACGCCACCCGGGTACGTGCGGGGACCCCCACCCATGCGGATTACGGTGCTCGCACGTGCGGGAGGATTGGGAAGAAATTGGAGGGTTTTGATGGGGTTGTGGAAAAAGGGGCATTGGGAGAATGAAAGGTGGTGGTGTTGAGGGAGTAAAAGGTTCATCTTGAGTTTGATTTCAAATGCCCACAACACCAATAACAGATTTTGTTCAAAAAAGTATCAATTTTTTTATCTAAAAAGAAGAAAATTTTCAGAATTGAAGGGTTCTTTGGAAGGCACTGCAATCACAAATCCCTAATCCTCGTTCATTCTTTCTCGTACGGTGTTGTTGTCCTTCGCAGATATGGCTTATGTTGTGTGTTACTGTTAAGTCGTGTATGGTTGCATTTCCAGGAACGACGTCTGTAGAAATTATAATATTTTGAAACAAAAAATCTTTTTTTTTCTCAAGTTTCTTTATAATTATACTTTAACTTATTGAACCTATTTGTTGTATGAAAAACATATATGGCCTATTTTAAACCATTTTAGAAATGTTATATATGCATAACTTCATTTTAATTTTTTAAACAGTGAAATGAAAAATTACTAAATTTTTAAAAACTAAAGGGCTGATAATAATAATAACAAAAAAGAAGTTCAAAAAGTATTTCAAAGTTCGAAATACTAAGATTGGGTTAACCTAATTTTTTTTAGTTTATACTTTTAATTAATGTTTGAAAGGTTTTGTTTTAGTTTTTTTGAAACTGTGTTAAATAAAACTGATGAAATAAAAGATGGTTTGAGATAAGGGTGGTAATGGAGTCATCTCATCCTCTTTTGTCTAGTTTTGCATTAGGTTTACAAAAAGTGGGTCAGACCAACCCTTTCATAACAAACGTGAGTTAACTTTTTTTTGTCCGCTCCACATAATATTTAGTGCACGAGCCGATGTATCTCCTCTTATATGGATTGTTTATTTTAAATTTTGTTATTTTGAATTAACAAGCATGACTCATTGTGTAAAAAAAACATATATTAATGTAAAATACTCTGCGATTATTTATACCAGTTATAATTTATTAAGTATAAAAAATGAGATGGTGAGATAATCGTAAATAAAATAATATTTTATACATAAATAATAGTTATAATAAATATAAAAAGTGGATGTGATAATATTTATGTAATAAGAAAGAAAAAACATTTTATAAGTTATAATAGATAAATAATGCATTAACATTTTTGCAATAATAAGAAAATTTTCTGTATCTTCTAATTATAACTTATATAAAAAGTGGATTACATTTTTTAATAAATAAAATAACTTCTTATATCGGTTTAATTATAACTAGTATAGAAAGTAATTTTTTTATATTTGAAAATAGAGGGTTCTCAAATCCTTAACCCTTGTTCTCCTTATTTTTCTTTCTCGTTCATGTCTCGTTCTCCTTCATCATCTGGCAACATGTGTCTTTTTTCTTTCTTCCCCAATGCGCGAGGCCTTATGCACGCCTAGACTTATCACGTTGCGCCCTCCGCCAACAGTCACATCACCAATGCGAATGAGGAGCACGTTAACTCTTGTCTTCTCTACGACATAAAGTTTTGTCACCCAAGGTTGTTGCTCCCCCGCCACCATCACATCGTGCATCCGATTGAAACTTCAATTCATCGGGCGATTGTTTCTTTCTTTCTTCTCTCTACTTTCTCTTTTGGCTAATTTCAATGAGTGAATGTGGGTGCCAAAAAATGAAGATGGAGGAGGAATCAATGGTGAAGGGGATTGAATTTGTGCCTGTGAAAGTCAAAGGCGATGTTGATGCTAGTTATGGCCATGTGTGGGTGTTGGCAAGGCTAGAGCGGTTTTGTTCTATGCGGGTTTGTTGTTGGAAGGTGAGGGTTGATTTTGTTTAGGCATAAGGTGATGAAGAGTTCTGGAATGTGTTAGGGAGAACCAAAGAGTTGTGTGATAGAGATGTATTGTTTTGTGTTCCATGCAGGAGATGAATGGTTGTTATGGAGATAATGAGTATGCAAAGAAGATAGCCCCCTATCACTTTGTGGTTGTTGAGTGAATTGAATATGATGTTGGTGTGTGGAGTGCAAAAGGTTGCTTGAGATTGTTAGTAGTTGGTAATGGGTTCTAGAACAAAGAGTTAATGATGGAGATTTTGATTGGATGTGAGTATGATGAAGGTTCAAGCTTGTGAAGGAGTGTTTGTGATGGACTAGATGATAAGAAAGTGTTTGTGATGGGTCAGATTATAAGAAAATTTTTCATATCGATTGTACCTTTCATCGATATAAAAAGTGACACTTTTTACACCCTTATGTTATTTTACCGTGAAAAGAAAGTAGAAATAAGTTTGGAGTAGTTGATGATAATAAAAATAATTTTGAATTTATTAGACTTAGAATAACAACGTATGTAAAACTTTTTTATTATTAAAATTAGGAAGTTTTTGTGTTTTAAATGGTAAAAATATTTATTTAAAATTTATTTTTTTAAAATTTGAGTTTAAAACTAACAATAATATTATTTTATATTTAAAAATAATTATATTAATGATGGGTGTCATTCTATAATTCTGAAATAAAATACTTATTATCTACTATAATGTTTAAATTTTAGTTATTTAAAATTTTAATATAAATGTTCAAAATCAATAATATTTGTCAATTTGAATAATTGGTATTTGTAACTAGATGAAATAGTCGTGCTTTTGTGAGTTGTGAGTATGTGTACATATTTTTTATGATAATTTAAAGTTATAGTTTCTTTTATAACTTCAACTATTGTTTAACCACATGAGTGGTCTCATTTTTATCACTTTTTTGCATTTACTTACTCCATGATATCGCATGTTTATTCTTACAAGATTCTTTTTATTGATATAGAAGCATAGGATTCCCCTTACAAACAAGACTTTGTTTATGTCAAAGTTTCATTTATATGTAATCCTTAGTAGTTCAAATATGGTCGCACCTTGGCTTTTTCATTTATATTTGAATAATGTAATAATAACTTGCAAAACCAAGGGTCTTATTTGGAAAAGTAAGTGTACTAACCCAACAAAAATTTCCTAAATTCTTCCTATATCATGGCAAGGTCCTTGTTTGTTTGGAAAGGTATGTGCACTGATAAAAAAA